ATTTTCTTTATTTTATTTATTTTATCGTTATTAGTAAGTATTTTTATATAAATAGGAATGATTCATCAATGTAAAAAAGGATAAGAACCGTCTTGTCTTAAATAATTCTTTTGATAAATAAAACTGTTTAGTACAGATGTTCCGACAGAGGCAGTACTAGTCTTTTGTTGTTAAATAATTATTTGCACGTATTTCAGTCAGTTTATCATGATTCTCTTTAATTTCTTATCTCGTATTTTTATTCTTACTCTTCTGTATGAAGGAAACCTTCTGCTAAACCGTGATATCATAAGTGATTTACCTGTGATCTAAAAGAACTGATATAACACTAGAAACTAAAACCTCATTTGAAGGTAAAGTAGATCCAGTAATATAACCAAGCTCTTAAGAATATACTAGCTTAAGACGAATCTTTGTACAATCAGTCATTAATAAAATTGGTCCTTTCCATTTTAATTCCTTTGCTATATTCGTAAATTTAATTACATTTTCTAGAATTAAATTAGGATATGTAATCAATTTAGTGTTTGAAGCACGTATTTGGCTTTAAAAATAAATTAAAATATAAAATTAATAATTTCAAATATATAAAAAAAATTAAAGATAACAAGTACGTATTGAATTCTTTGAATAAACATTCCTCCTAATGCCTTGCAAAAAATTTCATATTCACGACTACTTTCAGATAATAAACTAAAGAAATGTATAAGATGTTCAGAATATTATAAACCTTTCATACTAATACCCTCATCTTCTTTTTTTTTAATTTGTAACATTAAGGCAGCTAATTCTGTAAATGTCTTTTCACCATTAAAAGAACCATTCATACCCATTTAAGCTAAAGAGGCTCACATTGCAGAGTCATTATTATTTGTAACTATATAGGTCCAAAGATTTCTAAGATTTGCATTTATCAAAAGACGAATCAAAGGAGTATCAAAATAAAATTTTGGTATATATTGAATTATCGATGGCATTGCACATTTTTTATATTAAAAAAAACTTTAATTTAACAACATTCTTTAGCAAATAAAAGGTAGATATAATTAACTTACAACTTTTAATGCTTTTTTTAATCTTTTATTATTTTGTAATTTATCACATTTGTTATATAAGCCTGATAATTTTGTTGTTACGATGATACAATTTACACTTCATATCACCCCTTCAAAATGATCTATTTTTCAGATAGCTGTTGCTTGTAATACTGTATTAAATTGTTGAGTTTGATCTTTATTAATTTCTTACGAGAAAAAGGAATAGCTTATAAAAACTTCTCAGGAAAAAGTTCTTTTCTAACTACTTCAGGTCTTTTTTCACCATCAAAATAGGTCAGAGTACTAGTAGCATATTCTGTATATAAATCACCAAATAAACTAATACAAGGTAAAGGTTCATCTAATTCAACTTCACATTCTTCATTTATATCTTGGTTTTGATTAAAAAAGACAAATAAACTTGGCTATTGTTCAGTACTAAGAATGCAATTTTGGCTTTTAATATGTTTTTCAAAATTTATTATCCTAAAAAGACAGTCTAATCGAATTTTAACTTCACATTTACATTAAACAGTCTTATCATTTATCATTTTATCAAAATTTGTAAAAGATCTAAAATGAGAAATATGAGTATCGGCAATTGATTTTTGGATGCAAGTTGGTGGCATTGTAAAGTAATAATAAGTAAAAAATTTAGAAAGAAATAAAATTTACTTTACACATATAAAATTTATTTTACATACTCTGTAATCGAACTATAATTAGATATTTATCAATTATTTCCATCCTTGAAATTTAAAGAATTTTTTAAAAATTTTTTTCGTTTTTTATCCATCAAATACAGCATATATACAGTCAACTCTTGTTATAGCGAACTCTTAATATAACGAATTTTTTGAACAAATATAATAAAAATACTCTTGTTATAGCGAATTGGCCAATC